CTGTCCAGGGTGGGCTGGGTGTGCTGAGTGGGACCTGGGTAGGTCCCTGCTGTCCAGGGTGGGCTGGGTGTGCTGATGGGACCTGGGTAGGTCCCCCTGCCCAGGGTGGGCTGTGTGTGCTGATGAGACCTGGGTAGGTCTCCGCTGTCCAGGGTGGGCTGGGTGTGCTGAGTAGGATCTGGGTAGGTCCCTGCTGTCCAGGGTGGGCTGGGTGTGCTGAGTGGGACCTGGGCTCCTGCCAGCTCTGGAGGCTGCCCTCTGCCTGGCTGCCTTTCCTGCCTGCTCTGCCCAGGCCCCTCCTTGGGCTTTGTCTGTTTCTCTTCTCTGTCCCTTTCTCCCCAGTCCTCCACTGGCCTCTCTCATCTCAGCACCTGATTCCTTGTGATGCTCCATTTTTTCTGTGGTTTTTGGCTTGGGAGGCCCCTCCCAAAGGGACTTTGTTCACATCTGTTTTTGTCTGCTTGTGTGTCCCTCCCCCAGTGCCCAGGTAGGTGGTCAGAGAATAATTGATGAATGAATGAATGGCTGAAAGGGCAAAGGAGTGAATGACTCTAGAATGGTGATGCCGGGTAGGTCCTCAGCTAGTACGTACCAGCTCGGTCACCCACCACCATTGAGATGGTTTCCCCAGTGAGGAGCTGCACCAACCTAAGCGGCCCCTGGTGGGGCCCAGGGGACAAGATGTGGGCTCCTCCCGTAGGCAGCTGTTGGTCCAGGCAGCAGAGCATGTTCCCATGCAGAGCATGATGGCAGTGATGATTTACAAGCACATCCCCAGGGTTTTGTCTTTGTGCTTTTTCCCCAAAATAAGAAATAAATAAACCTGGGAGGGCCGCCTGGGAAGTCACTTGCCTTGGAATCCAGAGAAACCTCCCAGTGAGGGCATCTCTGTCCCTGCCTAGGAAGACAGATGGACAGCCCTTGCCAGGCCGGCGCCCAGGCCTGCTGTCATGGAGGCGTGGGTGCGGGGCGGCTCACCTCAGTATGCAGCCCCATGTGGCTGCCAGACGGTTCCTTCCACCTCCCCAGGGATGTCCCGCTGTGCACTTGGCTGAGAGCCTTTGGAGCAGAGGGCTGGGAGTGGGGCAGGGCTGTGTGGCCAGCCAGAGGCCTGGCTCTGCCAGGAGAGACAAATATTTACAAGCAAGGTCTTCCCTTCTGCTTGGCAGGCTGAGGGCTTTAAGTGTGTAGTATTGATTTTTCAAACAGGAAATTTTAATCAAGGCCCCTGTTTGGCTGAAAAAAGTGAAGGCCAGGGGGTGAGGGCTCCTTCAAGGCCTGGCCCAGGCTTCTCACCCAGCCCGCACTGCCCACAGTTCTGGGCTGCCTCCAAGGGGACCTTTTGTCGAGGAAGGCATCTAATCCCATCTGCTGTGGGTCTCAAAAGACATGAGGCCACACTTGGCTGAATAAAGAGGCTGTTTGAAAGGCAGAGATCAGTGTCCCTGTGGGCTGTGTACCTACTATGTGCCAAGTGCAGAGCGGCAGGCTCTTTGCCACCTGTCTTGTTGAATTTAGGAGCAGCCATTTGAGGTGGGTACCACTTGCATCCCCTTTGATGGAAGACGGTCGAGGTTCTGCAGGGTGGGGACTGTCTCTGACGTGCAGCCCGGCCTACGATGTGCCCTGTTAAAGTGGAGTGAGTGAATGAACTGAACCATTGCATGGGTAGTGGGTGTGGGCACAGAGGCTGGGCTCAGCAAGCAGGGACTGACCATGGCTTTTTCTGGGGCAGGGGAAGGCTTCTCGGAGAAGCTGACTTTGGGCCTGGACTTGACGGAGGACTTGGGAGTTTGCCTGGGGAAGGGGGAAATTTCAGGCTGGGAATGGCTCAAGCCAAGGCATGCCAGGAAACACTTGCATGGAGGAGTGGGGTATTGTGGCTGGAGCAGGGAGTCTGGAGGATGAGCTGGTGATGGGGTGGAAAGAAGGGTGGGGTGTGGCCATGACTCTGCAGGTGAAGGGGCTCAGCACAGTGAGACGGGCACTTGAGAAAGATCTCTCTACCTGCCATTTACTAGAAGTGAGAATCAGTGCTGTGGGAATTTGCAGGAGGCCTTCTTCATACTTTGTGCCTATAGTTGGGTTGATTTTTTTATTTGCCTGGGTTATGATGGATAGGAGCGTGGACTTAAAAAGTTCTGTTCCTCTGACCTCTTCCGTTTGCCGCTTCAAAGTGTTTGCAGATGTCAGGGCCCTCCCTCAAGTGGGGGTGGGCTTCAGACTGCAGAGTGAGGAGCTGCTCTGCCCTCGAGTAAGCACCTAGGCATTTGCACGAGTGAGAGTCAATGTGAGCTGATTTAGGGAAGTCCATTTGCATCTAGCCAATAGGAAGTCTCCTGCTGCACAGACTCACCTCTGTGGGCTGGCAGTCCGATCCCCAGGGTTTGGTGACCATGACCGAGAGATGGACCGTATACTCATCAGGTGCACCTGACTAGGAGCATTTTATATAGACCTAGTGTTTGCTGAGTGCTTGTTTTGTGCTGGGTGCTATTCTGTGTCCCTCGAGTGTATTATTAATGCATTGAATCCTCCTGACAATGGAATGAGGCAGGAGGTATCCTTCTCCCCATTTTACACAGGAGAAAACGAAGACCCAGAGAAGTAAAGTAACTTACCCAAGGTCACACAGCTAATTAGTGACAAAGCTGGGATTCAAACCCAGGCAGCTGGACTCCAGAGCCAAGCTCTGAGCATCTTCTCTGTGTTGTCTGTCCTTACTGTGCAGCCTTCCTGATTGGAAGTAAGAGCGACCTCTCTGTGCCTTCAGGGCCTGTTTTAAGTGGGGACAGCCAGGCTCCATGCCTTACCTCCCTCAGAGGTTGTTTTGAGGCTCTCTTGGGATAGAGGAAATCAAGTTTTATAAACTGTGAAGTGCTGCAAACATGTCCTTATTTCCCCCATGAGCTGGCATTTGCCAGAGCTGAGCTACTCTGGGTAGGGGTGGGTGTGCTGTGATGATCCCACAGGAGGGGAGCATTAGACATGAGCCCGAGGCTGTGTCAGCAGGGAAGGTGGCACAGCCCCTGTTGGAGCGTGTAGACTTTCAGAGAAAGGCTGGTGTGTCTTTTCAGCTATCCACAGCACCCCCGGCCCCAAACACACACAGAGAAAAAAGACTGGAAAGAAATATTCACTTGTTCATTTTGTACGCCTCACTGCGGACCCACTAGGTGCCAGGCATGTCTCCAGCCCTGGGCGACAATGGAGAGTGCAAGTGCAAGGGCCCTACTCAGTCTGATGAGGGGAGACAGTGGGTCAGTGGGTACAGAGACAAGAGGACAATTAGAGAGAGCGACAGAGTCTGCCATGGACCGACCCTGGGGCCGAGTGTCGACTGCCACTAGCTGGGTGTGCACAAAAGGCCTCCCTGTGGAGGTGACATTGGATGGGCCAGGCCTGAGGTGAGACGAGGCAGCTTCATGTGGATCTCAGGGAGGACCTGTTCTAGGCAGAGGTGCTGGGGTGGGGGCAGAGGGGTATGGGGTAGGGAGACTTTGAACAGGGAAGGTGCTGACTAGCTTGCACAGGCCCTGTGGGCAGGGGAGTTTAGGACTGATTATAAGTTCAAGGGGAAGCTTTGGGAAGGGTTTCCTTTTTGGGGAGGGGGATGAGCCTTTTAAAATGTTTCTTGGAGGCCATTGTGGATTGTAGAGTCAGAGTGGATGCAGTGAGGGCAAAGGCTCTAGAATGTTCCAGAATTGATGATCTTGGGATCATGGGGTATTACTTTCTTTATAGAGCGTGCGCGCTCTTTCTCTCTCTCTCTCTGATTTTCCATTGGGGGTGTATTCTGCTAGTATCGAATAAAACCAACACTCATTTTTAAAGAAATGTTGGCTTCTTGGCCTCTGGTGTCTGGTGCAAAGTGTGTCTGTTGGGGGCAGTGCGGCTTAAGGTCAATACTGGCATCATCCAGCCACTCAGTGGACTCCATGAGCCCCTTCTCCCAGCCAGTAAGGTCTGGCCTCCCTCCCAGCCCCACTGGCCCAGCCCCTTTTCCAGATGAGAAAGTCACAGATTTGAAATGCACCACCAGCTTCTTCACTGTTCATTGATCTCATAGAGAACATTTAAAATCATATTCCAGGGGCCACCTTCAGAGAGACAAGAGGAGGTTTAAAAAATTAATAAAGACTCACCGTGTAAGACAAGATGGGCTCTTAACGGGGCTGGGTGTGGCTGCGTTCCTGCTGACTCTTAACTTGCTGCGGGGTCACTGCCCTCAGCTTGGCTGTGAGTGGAGCCCACCTCTTGCCCATTTGCAGGCCTGCCCATTGGAGGGGGCCGGGCTGGGGTGACAGGGCTCCTCTAAGCAGACCTGCTTTCCCTTTGGCCATTAATACCCCAAATGTAT